CTTTCATCGTGTAGTCCCTGACGGCATGTTCTTTGTAAGAACTAATATTTTACAAAGAAAACCAAACATGATTAGTTACTCACAAATCAACTATCTAGGATGAGGAATCACCCTCTACTAAAGATGTTTATATAACTAGTAAATCTTATTTACTTTGATTCTTCTTCTTTGTTTAGATGAAAATAATTTCCATTTAAGAGCTAAAACTTAATAAAAAAAACAAAACATGATTAGTTATTTCTGAATCTACTATTCAGGATAAGGAATCACCCTTTTACTAAACATGTTTTTAGAACTAGCAAATCATATTTGCTTGAGTTTATTTCTTAATTTCGGGAAACAATTTCCTTGTAAGAACTAAGACTTAATAAAGAAAACAAACATGAGCAGTAACTCCCGAATCTACTATTCAGGAATAAGGAATCACCCTTTTAACTAAAACATGTTTTTAGAACTAGCAAATCATATTTGCTTGGGTTCCTTTCTTTATTTCGGAAAACAATTTCCTTGTAAGAACTAAGGCTTAATAAAGAAAACAAACATGAGCAGTAACTCCCGAATCTACTATCCAAGAATAAGGAATTACCCTTTTACTAAACATGTTTTTAGAACTAGCAAATCATATTTGCTTGATTCTTTTCCTTTATTTTGGTGGAAACGACTTTCCTATTGTCTTTTACTCAGGCCTTTACAGTATTTAGCCAAGCCTTTTGTTTTATGGATTTCCAGATATGGTATCTGATGACTGCATTATCTCATAAGCTGTCTCCATGCCTTCATACTTATTGTGAATTGCCACGCACAATCCTAGCTAATAGTTAGCTACTGTGTTTTCGTTAAGGATAGGAGGACAATCATCCATTTGGGACAAACTTATATGATGGTTGCCGAATCGAATTCGGATGCGGAAACATGGCAGGGCGGCGGATCGTGTATAACAAAAATTTCAGAAAACTTTTGAGATACTATATAGATTATATTAATTTATGCACGAATAAATTAATCACATTAATTTATATATCTCAAGAACTCAATCAGGAAAAATACCTAGAAGCCGACTCGGATGATAACTTGAGTTTTTTGTCCACGAACAGTCCTTGCTCCAAGCTTTGTGTTTAGAAAACCAAAGTCTTCCACGTCGATTCCTTGATTCCACGTAGACGTGTGTGTGGGCACACGTGAGACAAAACAGGTTTGATTAAACACTCAAATTTTCCACAAACACCAACGCATGTACGATGTGGAATATTTTGGAGAAAAATTTTCCTCTCTTTTTTTCTTTGAGAAAATTCGGCCACAAACTCTTAGGGCAGAAAAAAAATTACTTTCAAAAATTGTCTTCACAATTTTCTATCATTCTCATATTTAAAGAGTAAAAGTCAAACTTCAAAACAGAATTAAATCTCTATCTCCTATTTGAATTTGGAACAAAAAATCTCCTACACCTTATCCCTTAAGTGGCCGGCTACCCTAGGGTTTCCTAACCCTGTGTGTGGCGCCAAATCTAGATAGGGAAGGAAAAGAATTCATCCTTTATCCTGTAGTCAAATTTTAATTCAAATTCAAATTCGAATTTAAATCAAACTTAAATTAATTTGAATTCTAAATTGAACAACTTATCAAATAAGTTCAAAAAGATAAATTTAAATTATGTTCACAATTCAAATTGAAATTTAAATAATCACATTATTTAAATAATAACTAATTCTCAATTAATTATTTTTTGAGTATTTAATTTCAAAATTCCGTAATTCTAAAATTCTCATTTTGCCCTTTGTGTCTGGTAGAATTACAAGGACGACGTGGGGAATAATGGACCTATAATCCCGAGCTCCAATAAAATTAATAATTAATTAAACACT